AAAACAACAAAAAGGAACCCCCCCTCCTGCAAGAGCTTGGCAAAGTCCGTGATGATGTGCTCCCCGGCACCAGACTCCACCTGGAGTCCAAGATTTAGAGTCGGACCTAAGCTGTGCTCTTTATGGTTTGGTTGTTTTCTCTCTCTCCCCTGGTTTCTGTTGGTGTTTGTTGTTGTTGTTCTTTAAGGGGGTGTGGAAAAACGCAAGCTGCCTCTTATACTTGCTTTTTCTTATTGTGCGGGGGGGGGGGACGTGGTGGTGGGGGGGGGGGTGAAAACAAAAAACAGTTTGCTTCTCACTTGTTTTGTTGCTGGTCTTCTTTTGTTTGAGGGGGGTTGGAAAAACAAACACTGTGTTAGACCAAACTGTTTTTTGCTGTTTCCTGTCCTCTTCCTTTCTTTTTTCTGCGGAAGGGGGGGGGGGGGGGGGCGGGGAACAAAAACAAACATGCCCGTCTTGTGCTTCTGTTTGGGGGGCCCCCCGAAAATTCAATGAAGCCATGTTCCTTTTGGTGGCTACCAGCTCCAAGCACCCTTGGCAAGTTTGAGGGGGGGGGGGGGGCGGTAGGCAGCGAAGCAAAGACCATCCGAGTGAAAATCAAGACTTGCACCCGGACCATAGGTGTCCTTCTAGAAATAGATGGATATCCCTGGTAGATGATTAAACCAGGTAAACCAGGAATCGCCCTCTGTTTTTTCTACCAAAACAACCAAAAAGGACACCTATGACCCAGACCTGAAACCTCCAAACAACTTTCCTCAGGGAAGGAATGCACTGGAAAATCTGGCGTTCTGGGCACCAAGTTTCACCATTCCCGGCTTCCCAGGCTTCTGATGGATACGAAACGCATCCACATCCGAGGGACCACCACTTGCGCATTGGATGCGACATGCGCATCGCATCCGCATCTGTGATCGTCACCCGGCGTACCGTGTGGAATCATGCAGAATTCGGCCATGGGTCAAAACCCAAATCGTACCCTCAGTGAACATCCCAATCCCCACTAAAATAGACTAAAATGGGTGGTGCACCTACCCAAAAATGGTACCATTGGTTTTGACCCACAGCCATTCTGCTCAACACCATGGAAGTGGGTCAGAATTAAACCACCAGGAATCGGACCGCAGGTTTTAGTTTCAGTCCGTGGTTCCATTTACCAGGGCAACCCATTTTGGGGTTACCCGATTTTTGACCCACAGCCACATGGCCATGGTTCTCCCAAGGGAAATCCTTATAACGGGTATATCATGGGGGCTGGGGGGGAGGGAGGGGAGGGGGAGGGAGCCCAAATAAGCCCTTACTAAGCCCTTAATGAAGCCTTATTTGGGGCCTTTTGGGGCTCCCTCCCCCCCCGCAGCCACCATGAGTATAAGCTGAAAGCCTAAAGCCTGAGGTCCGTAACCATTCCTAGCCACGCGCAAGTATGCGTGGCTTTTTTTGACCATGGAACACATGCCCAAAGCCCAAACATAGGAACCACAGGATCTTGAAGCTCCACAAAATCTAAACGTACCTGCCAACCATTGGAGACAAAACAAAGCAAGACATGAAGGACACCCGGCGAAGCGCCTGTGTCTTGAGCATGTTGTTCACCTTGATGATGTCCATAAGCTTCGCCGTGACGTCATCCTCAAGTTTGCAGCTAGATCGCGAAGGAGAACATCGAGTGCACGCGAGCGAAAGGGGGCATGGCGCAAGCGCGAGGCAGGGAGGCAAGCAGAGCTAGACAGAACACAAAAACCTCTTCTCACCCCTGCAGCCAATATCTTGGTTGACGTTGGAAGGGGAGCAAAAAAACAAAATAGCAGTTAATTGGATTTGGATTTCAACCAATAAACCACAATCAGCAAAACTGTAACATGTTTCCCAACAACAACCATGATATGTTGTAAAGCCGTGTTGGCCAACGAGTTCTTGGGACAAGACCAAAGGAGTCATTACCGGTGCACGTCATGTTCTCCAGGGCTCTGAAAATGGGACAAACAATCCTCGATATGCGCGTTTGGGATAGCAATACACTCGCAACGGGGAAGTGAAACGGGAAACGCCTCCCCACCCCTACATTTGGGTGACTTTTTTGAGCGGGGGTGGTTTGAAAGGGGATTGATAGGGAAGATATGCATCTTTGGGATTCCATGCCCAGTCACAAAACTGGAACCGCCTTTCAAGGGGGAAAATTGCCCTCCACATCCCTCCACTGTCCAGTCAGTTGTGTGGTCCTATTTGGCTGTGGGTCAAAAATCGGGCAATCCAAAATGGGTTGCCATGGTAAATGGAAACATGGACTAAACCCCGCGGTCCCTGGTGGTTTAATTTTGACCCACACCCATTTGGAGACACATCCATTTTCACCGTCGCCTTTCCTGGCTGCTCGCGCGCAGGAGAAGGGCACCAATTGGCTGTGGGTCAAAACCCAAATCGGTTCGCCCCAGTGAACATCTGATTCCATCCCCACCAACATAGGTTCGAAAATGGGCGGTGCACCGAAAGCCAACCAAAATGGTACCAAAACCGTTTTCACCCACAGCCACTTGTCCCCAGCCTCCAATTTTCAGAGGTGGTAACTGCGAGTTCTGAGTTGCTGGCGCCGCGATTGGGCGAACTCCAGCGGCCGAAACCCGTTGGGAAAACCACTGCAGAGCTCCAAACCATGCTAAACACCTACCTACAAGTAAACCAACCCTTGTGGGGTCCCTTATTTTCAGAATCACCCGCCTCAGTTTCCTTCCAGAATCAAAGAGTAAGCAAGAATGAAACAAGATCAAGTTGCGCCCCCTCTAGGAGTAAAGCACAAATGGCTCAGGATTCAGAAGGGGATTCTTCATTTCTCTGAGGTCACACCCTGATATTTATCAGGGGTCGACAGTAGACATGTACCTTTCAAACACCCCTTGTTAATCCACCAGTTTGATCAATTTGCAGTTTAATCATGTATAAAAGTATACCCCTTGCCGTGATTGATACTCAGGTCAATCCGCATGACTAGTACTCTCAAACGACCTACCCTAAGGGTCCGATCGATGGATTGTGGGGCTCCAAAACCATTTGTTGTGAGACCCCTCAAGCAGCTCGGGGTATGGTACGGAAAACCCGGGTTCTGCATACCAAGCCTTCTGCCAGGACCCTTCAGACATATCATACGTTTTTTCAGCCGCAATTGTGGGTTGCAACAGGGATCCGTACATTATACACCTGAACATTGCCTTGTAAATGGTGGTTTCCAACTTTATTTTAGTGTTGAAAAGGCCACATGTTTCAAATGGTTGCAAAGTGGAGATCTTGTAAGGAGCCGTGATGCTTCAACCCATGCTTTAACGGGGCTTTTCGAGGGCCCAGGTTGAGCCGAAAAAAAAATCAGCAGTCCCTCGATTTTCGCCACTGGCCCAGCCGAATTGCCAACCATGGTATGGCTGTTGTCCCGGGGGGGGAGGTGCCCCGTTGCTATGGTGACATGAGCCGTAAGGCAAGTGGTAAAGGACCTTGGTTGACGTTGGAAGGGGAGCCAAAATCTGAATTTAATCTCTCCAGGGGCCAGGGTTGGACGGAGGAGTACGCATTGTGAGCGTCAACAGGTTTCGGCTACAATCGCTCACGTCTGCGAAGGGTGTTCCTTCCGAACGTGCACTCGGCTCAAGTCTCATCTTTAAAGGCATTACACACGTGCCCCTTTCGCTGATACCGAGAAAAAAAGGCCATCTCTGAGGCTCAAAAAAACATTTAATAACAATGGGGAGGGTTCACAAATATAGGAACCCATTGTCATCATCTAAAACTATTGTCAGTGGTTAACATTGATAAACCGTTGTTCAATGACAGTCTATACTGGGTTGTCATATATGCCAAGGATCGTCATCGTCCAAAATGGGTCCTTACCATTGATTTGAATGGCGGTCAACCCTAGGGCATCCCTGCGACCAATTTCTTTGGCAACTTTCGGCAGAATTTGTCGGTATCACGTAGACTTAAACACCATCTTCCTACAAAATACTATAGCCTCACCTCCCGAGTGGACTGGAAAAAAGCCTGAACTGTGGATTTACCACCAAATTGCTCCTCCGAAAAAGTTTAAAGTCCAGGAACTCAGGACGTAGCCTTGAAAGTGGCTGTCTCCGGAATCGGATTGTCTGCAACTAAGATTGCCCGATGGCCCTTTCTGCATGAGCAATAGATGCCAACATCCTTACAGTTCAACCAACACAAACATCCCTTTGGCCAATCACAAGAGTATGGGTATATATGTATATATATATATATACATGTGTGTTTTTTGAAGGTACCCCGTTTGCAGGGGCCATCTTCAACGCAAGACGTCCTGGGGCTTTCAGCCAAAGGCCTGGTAAGCTCTGGACAAAATGACAAATCGGCTTTTCTCTCCAGAAGGACATAGAAGTGGTTGTGGGGTTTGTTGGGCTGCGCCAGTTCCTGTGGGAAGTTCGGGTTGTTTTCCCGATGTTTGTGGGAGATGTGGGCGGCGCCCCCATACCCTTCATCTGTCTGGTGAAAGTTTAGCAGAGGGGTCGATTCAAGAGACTTCCGTTTGTTCAACCCCCTGGAAAAATAAACATAATTCCGGTAGTGATAGATTCCCTTTAAAACCAACAGTTGCTTTTAGGAGTATTCTTAAGCAAATGGAAGGAGACGGGCTCTCGCCCACAATGCAGGCACCGGTGGCCTAGTGAATTCACCGAGCTACATGGCTAGTGAGGGGGCTTTGGCGTCGTCACCCGGATGCGACTTCAAACACATCTGCAACAGGGATGTGGGAAAGGACCACTTGTGTGATACAACAGAAAGGCTTCCCAAGACTAACCCCCACATAAAGGAGGAGATGCCCTTGTATCACAGAAATGGGGATAAACCCCTTGATCCCACAACCCTGATCTACAACAACAGCGCTCTAGGGGACCTGAAACTCAACTTGGCTCTACTTGGCTGGATTGGTGGCTTGCTATTCTGGGTGTTGGCCCCTTTTTGGGATTTCAGTTTTGTTCAGCATTCGGTGGGGTGCTACTCTTCTGGGTGGCGCCCCTTGGTTGCCTTAGAGTCCCTCAACGCGGAACGGAGCGCTGCGAAATCATCAGGGCCAAGCCTCGAGCGAAGTTTGTTTGGGCCATCTGGGTCTGGGCCCCCGGAACAAAAATGGGGCCCGAAGCTTTGCTTTGCTTTTCCGTTTCGGGGATCCTTCCAGATATTCCCAAAGATGTCACTGATGTTCCTTCCAGATGTATGCCGGCAGGCAAGGGCAAAGATGTGGCACCTTTCACAGACCTCAAGTTGCCAAACTGGGCACGCAGAGCAAGTCGAAGGCCCACAAAAAATGGGTCGCAACACGGCAAAACTAACTAACGCCAACCCTGCAGACTCAACGCCCACCTCCCCCTCCTCCTTTTCAACTGGAGTTCCCCTTGGAACCCAGCAGCAAACCTGATCAACGGAGCATCGCGCTAATTCTCCGGTCTCACGCCAGACAACCCACGAGAAGAGGTCAGGGTTCCTTCTAGCGGTACAAATGACTTGCTGCCGGATCACATGGGAGAAGTGGGGGTTGCCCCAAAGCTCCGCTAGACATGGAAACCACTAGATCTTGGGGTCTCAAAACCTGGCCGTTTGAAGGCCCAAAATCGTTTGGGAGCGTCTGGGTATGTCAACCACATGGGCAAAGTTTTACCCAAGAGCTGGGGGCCCGACATGGAATATTGATCAACCGTCATGTCTACCCAAGTACACCCACATTTTGTCCCAACCTCCATGATGCCGAAAAGGGAAAACAAAAAGAGAAGCTGGGAGTTGCCCGGAAGCCGCCGGGATCCAGCCTCGTAGGGGTCTTCACCTGAAAGCTGGGAGGCAGCTTCCATTTCCATTTCACATAGGCAGTTGGGGGCTGCAGCTTGGAAAAGGCGCGGTTGGTTTCAAGCTCACGTTGACGCCATTGTTTTCTTTTTTGCTTTTTTTCAAAAGCCAGCCAGCAAGGTGATTCCTCGTTTTCAAGAGTGCCTCGACCTCTGAAATGGGACGCCCTCGTCTGAATGTGTGAAGCAACCAGAGGCGATCCCCAATGCCTTGGGATTTCCATTGCTTGGAATCCAAGTGATCCGACATTCTTCCATTTGTTTGGTTTGGAGCCCTGTGGCTTCGTTCTATGAGTCAGCTTTCTTCCATTTGATTGTTTTGGTTCATATCCCCAGTTCACATCCAATGGAGGGGAACCTGAAGGTAGCGCGCGTGCCAAACAATTCGGCAACTCCCCCCCCCCAAACTTACAGATTTCCTAATGGGTCAACACCCTCACCCTGGCCCGGCCAGTCGGTCAGTCGAGGATTGTGTGGTGGTTGATGGAAGCTGCCCGCAAACCAAAGGAACTCTCCTCCCGACCAATGGAAAAGCAGGAAGCACTGGACATACGGCAGATGCACGACCTCACCTTCGCAGCAGTTGCTGGTGCCCATGGAGGACCAACTCCATCAAGGGAGACCCACAAAAAGCTCTGCCTGCCCCTTGTCCAAGTTTCAGAGTTTCCAGGCGTAAAATGGCTGCCCCTGTCTGATTCTCCTTCAAAGCTGGTCCTTTCAGGGGGCCCTGTTTTGGAAGGTCCCGGGATTTTGGCACATACCCATTCCTGGGGCTTGTGAAGGGGATCACGGGGCTTGGCACAAAGAGTGGCCGCCAAAAACCGACCATCCTCACCGCTAGCCGCTGGCGAAGACCAACGAAAGGATGCGTTGGTGTGCTACCAATACAGCGAAACTTGACCCAAACTTGGTTGATTCCCCTTCGGGGTTCCTTGTACGTAGAGTATCTGAAAAAAGGAACCCTCATATGATTCACTTGGCCAGCCACAATGTGGCCAACCTAAAATCAGCAATCCTCCGCGAGTCAGCGTTCATAACCGAAACTTAGAGTCGCCCCCTTGGAAAAGGCCCGGTTTAAAGAACATGTTGAGCTGGACTCCTCGCGGACTAATAATGATTAATATCAGCAAACCCCCAGCAACTGCTTGTTCCCTTGTCCAAGATCAGAAGCACTGTCCAAGAAGCAGTTGTTGGGAGGTGCTGGTAGGGTGGGCAGCCTCCCTTATTTCTCAACCAGGTGGATTCATTGATCTGCAATGTTTCCAATGATTCCAACACCGCAACGAATCCCCGAGAAAATAGGACATCATGGGTTTTGCTCCTTTTACCCAACATGGGCAGATTCATCCTGGCCCTCTTCCACGACTCTCCGTTCTTTCGGCTCTTTCGGCTCCGGCCTCGCGGCGAGATGTTGACCTGGAAGTCAATTCCAAAACAAGCAAATGCCACTTAATGTTGACCCCATATCAATCAACCCCAGTTTATTAATAGGGGGTGCCCCCCTCCAAAAGTGATGATGCACCACTAAACCCAGGGACCCCCCGAACAATAAACTGGGGTTGGTTAATATGGGGTCAACATTAATAGTGGTCTCCAGCGGATCCCAGGCAAGCCCATTCAGTGGGCAACCCTTCGCTTTTCTCCAGTTGAATTGATGGCCCGATCTTTCCTTACAGTCCATGCTCTTCGGCTTTGATTTTTGTTCGAGTTTGCAGTAGATGGACTTGTGACATTTGCCAAGCAAAAATGGAGCAATGGATCAACGAATCCCTACTATATTACCTTGCATGAGGAGTTCCCACCACTGCCCAGTTGGTCAGGGGCAAACTTTAAATCACTTGTCGCTTCCGGGCCAGTAGTTGCAACTGGGCTTTGTTTGGGGGGATTTGCAGGGAACCCCCATGTTCGCTTGGAGACTTCAGTCAATCCATTTACCTGGTTTTGTGTGGGAACCAAGGGTGCCATGTACTTGCCACCCTCTGAAAACCCTGATCAAAGGCTTGGCAAATGCCAATGACCACCTTCATTGTTGTTCTCAACATATTGACTTGTCCCCACGCTGAGCAGTTTGGGACCATTTGAGGCGTGCGCCTTGAATTCGGGTCGTTTTCTGACAAGCAATCCTTCCAACTACCGGCAAGACCCGACATGATGTGAAGGAACAACGCTACCTCAGCTTGTGTCCCCTACCAAAAAACGTGTGTTGTGTGGTTATGATCCATGTTCCATAGTTCATGAACCCTTAACATCTACGACCAAATACCAAGAAGGTCGCAAAACGTCCCTCCCCGAATCTTGGTTCGCTTCACTCGCCGAAAACCGCTCCGGGCCCTGGGTTGAACCGACCCTTCCTTCAGGCTGAATATGGCTTTCCCTTCCCCTAGTGCGTGGGATTGGAGAAAGCAACACCTAGAAGGTTTAGGCGGTTTAGGCCTTCCATCATGCTGTTCCCCTAGTCCATGGTTGGGATTGGTGGTGAGTGCGGGGGGTGGCTTCGACACCTTCTTGCTTTCAAGAGGAACTGGGGGTTCAAAGCCCAATCCACCGTAAGGGGATTGCGCACATGATTACCTTATCATCCTGACGTAACTTGCTTGAATCGTCCTGCCTCAAATGAGCACTCTCGCGCATTGGGCGTGCCTGCGCTCGGCGGCAGGTGCTTCTTTCGCAGGATGCCAAGGAGCCCGGGGAAAAAAAAGAGAAAAAAAACGGGCCCTGCCGTGTCTTTCCCTCTCAGTTTGCGTGATGGGCGTTCACCAGCAGAAGATACAGATTGGGGGAGAACGAGGGAAAGGTAAAGGAGAGGCCCCTGCCCGAAAAGTGTGCCTTTAACCTTTTGCAGGTTCTTGAGAAGAGACACATGCTTCCTTAAACAGCTGACGGAAAAGATCCGACCCAATACCATGCAAGATTGAAATCGATCAGCCAAAGGCCAGCAGCTTCAGGGGAATCACAAAATCCGCCTCCTAAAAATACAACTTCTTGTTCAGAAGGCATAAATTCGAAGGTCTCAGATTGCGCAAGCAACCGAACTTGGCTGCATCGAAATGCGGAGTGAAAAGCTAGAACGCTCGTCAACACGAGACACGACCAACGAGCATGTCACAGGAACAAATGGCATCTTGTTTTGCTTGCCCAGACGCTCCGATCGGCTTCGGCTTCCAATGGAAGACCCAGACCCTCCATTGGACACCCCTCTGGGGGTCTTGGGGTCTCAAAACCTGGCCGTAAGGCCCAAAATCATTCGAATTGGAGCGTCTGGGTGATGTCCAAGGGGCTTTGCAACCAGAAAAGGTTCGGCTTTGCTTCTGAAAGATTAGGCGTGGCCTCAAGGTGTGTCTCAAAAAAATAGAGCGCCTGGCTTCACTTTGGTTTCCGTTCAAAACAACCCAAAAGAGGGTTCCTTTTGACAGAAAGACGGACCCACCAAGGAAGCTTGGTACCAAAACCCTCAACATTCCCTTCAAATCAAACTCTTGCCCCAAAAATTCTGGGGTGACGTTTTTTTTGCCCCTAAAATGCGGATTTCCCTTTTTTTCTACGTGGATTCCCCTTTTTTCTAGGTGACTTCCCTTTGTTTCTGGGTGAATGTACGGGTCCAGGCGCTTCTTCCCGCCCTTTTCGACCTCCCCCCGGCTCCCGCCTCGCTCCCGGCGTGCGGACTGCGGCCGTGGCCCGAGCGCCCGGTCCTAGCGCGGCCAAACCATAGCCCCAAACAAACACCACTTGGTTGACCTTGGAAGGGGAGCAACAAATTATCTTTTAGCAGTGAAGTGAGAAGTGGATTTGGATTTCAACCACCAAACCACCATAAGGAAAAATGTAAAGAATGTTTCCCAAGAACAACCATGACGATGGGAAACCCAGAAGGAAACAAGGGGAAAAAGGCATAGGTTGAAACCATGCCATGGTTTCAACCCTGGTAGAATCCATGGTGAAAACCATTAGTTTGTTGGTATTTACCAGGGGGAATTTATCAGAAACCAGGGTTTCTTGAGTGGGATTCCATTCCAACAAACCTCACAGGTTTGCCTTACTTAGAGCTTATCTACCCTACGTTGCCCCTGTCTTATCCTGGGGTCTGTTCCCAGGGTTTGGCGGTTCAACCGTTGAAGGGTGGCGAATCGATTGGCGTCCAACATGGTGTCAAGATATGGGGACCCAGCACGTGACTTCAGCTTTTCAGCAGCCCCCAACTGCTTGTTCAACCATGTCCAAAATCGCAAGTCCAAAAAACAGGTGCTGGTGGCTGTTCCTTTGGCTTCCCCAGCGCCAAAAAGGGGCCCACCGTTTTAAGGAAACCTCCATGCTGCGTGGCTTCCTGAACTTTCATGGGTCCTGAAAACCCCCCCAACCCCCCCCGAAAAAAAGAAGAAAAAAAAGAGAAAAAGCGGGTGGACACGAATCCTCGTCCGTCCAAATGACGTCCACAGAGGATCGATCCCCACTTAAAACCAGGGGCCATCTGAAAAAAAAACAAAAAAATCTCAAGGCTTGAGGCTCGGGGGCCCCCGAGCCTCCAGATTGCCCTGGCTGACTTGCAAGCGCCCTTCTGCTAGCTGACGCAAAAAAGAGAAGGTTTCAGGAAAGCCAAAAAAAAAATCTTCTGGGCACACACATCCATGTGGGTGCCCCAATGATCTGGAAACAAGGGCAAACACAACGTTAAAAAAAAAAAAAAAAACAATTTGCAATTTGCTGCCCTTTGGTTTGGTCGTCCCTGTCAGGCTTGGCTTTCACTAGTTGATCGGACGCCCCCCCCACAAGAAACTTCCTGAGTGGGATCATGACGATAGGCTTTCTACTGTGTGCCCCGTGTGACATGGCGTTTCTGGGGTGTCTGGAAAAATCATCGCCACCTTCGGGTTCTGCGGCAAAAAACATGTTGCCACCCTTCGTGTCCGGAGCAAAACCTCGTGATCCCCGCTGTCTGATTGGTGCTTGGATCTTCAACGCCGCTGACTTTAGAACCACAGTGAATTCGGTCCACCAAGCCCTGTTGTCCACCATTTATTGCCACGTCATGGTCATAATCCACCTCGGTTTCGCTGTCTGAACTCCCATGGTTCGAAAACAATCAAGTCAATCGGCCACATTCTTTAGTCAACTAGCTGTGTTGGATGTTGTAGGTTGAGGCATTGTAGCTAATGCATTTGAGTCACAATCAAAACCCGGTGGGCCGCAACTATTTCTGGCTGGGATTGTCGCTTACAAACCTTCATTTATCTGGGTTTTGATTGTGGCTCATTTGATTTGAGTCCTTGAGTGAAGTCTGGCCCAATATTTTACCATGATAGTCCTTCCCTGAGTGGTGGGTGAAGGGAAACTCACTTCCTGAGTGGCCAAAACAAGTCCGAACTTCTTCTTTACTACTAAAATAGTCCAAATCCGAACAACTGACTAAAGTCCATGAATTTCAAGTGAGGAAACCACCTTACCGAACAATCCCCCATTCTTTTACCATTCTAGTCCCCCCCTGAGTCTCTGAGTGGTGGGTTCATGGGAAACAAGCGATTCCATGTTCTAACTTTATCCTCATCGCATGGATCTCCAGTCTCTGAGTGGTTCATGGAAAGCATACATCTCCTCACTCCTCCGCATGCGAGCACATCCCCCACTTTCGCGCCTGGAGCCGATGCCCGTAATGCCGCTGGATGTCCTTCCGCGCGACAGCCCCGACGGGAACGGCCGGGCGGGCTGGAGATCCGGCCCCATGGCTCCCTGAGTCACAATCGAAACCCGGTGTTAAAATGGTCGACCCAGAACCATGTAAAGACTTAAGAAGGCGGCCGCAACTGTTTCTGGCTGGGACTGCCCCTTGCTAACCTTCATCTACCCGGGTTTTGATTGTGGCTCGCCTGGATTCAACACACAGAGTAAACCCATGGGACCTTAGCCCCCCCCCTTAAAACCATGGGAACCTGAGGTGGTCTAAACCAGGACCCCAAAGAATTCGTCAAGTTCCCATGTGAATTGGCGGGAGGGTAACATTTGTTAACCACCATTCTGTACCTATACATTGTCATCTAAGTTGGGTCACTCATTACATCTTGAAGCCTAGGGGTTCCAATCTTCGACTCACTTGCCGCCCTTGCTTTTCAGTCTTCTTGTTTTACACCAACCTGAATGAAGGAGTCTTCCAAGATAAGGATTCTCAGCACTAGCTCGCTTCTTCCCCGCCTGCTCCAATTAGTGCAAACGAAAATGAGCCACCCCCCTCGGTTTCAAAATGTTGGGCTATTTAGCACCCTGTAGCGGTCCAGCATGGCTGTGGCTCAAAAAACCGGTACCAAAATGGAACCCTGGTAGGCGGAAACAGGGTTCCCAAAACCTGCCTAACCCCTGCTGTTTAATTTTTGAGGCACACCCACATGACAAAACTTGGATGTTCCAAAAGTGGAGGGTCGGCCAATCCAATTGATCTGTTGAGAACACGCTACAGTCCAGCAAAACGATCTACAAGCCATCCACCGGTGCCCTTGCGGTGCAATAACCTGTACATATCCCCAAATGCAAGTTGGTTCCCCCAGTGTTTATTGCAGGGCCCGTATTGATCGGCCCAGTTTATCAACAGACTTTGTTCCCCTCCAAAAGTAATGATTCCCCACAAACCCAGGGACACTCCCCCCTATAAATAAACAGGGGTCGATAAATATGGGGTCAACATTAAGTTGATTTGTGCTTGTGAGGGGCGTATACTAACACCCTAAGGCTCACCTCCAATGCAGGCCCCCGGGCCCTCCAGACACCTTAGGCACATTTGAAATCAACCCATCTTCAGGGCCCAAAAATCATTGGGAGCCTTAGGGAATAAGCCCAAATGCAAAATGTTTCACAACAACCATGTTCCTCTAATTTGCCCCTCAGGGCTCAGAGGGGTGCCACTTCTCCACTCAGACCACAGGAGCTGCAAAACCGCTCGACGCGGGGGGCAGGCGCCTTTTGCAGCGAGAGGGCCGGGGCGTTGAAGTTCTGCCTCGGTCCCGTCGCTGGACAAAAACAAATCGTCACTTGGCCATGGGTCAAAAGCCAAAACGTACCCTCAGTGAACATCCCAATCCCCACTGAAATAGGTTCTAAAATGGGTGGTGCACCTGTCACAAAATGGTACCATTGGATTTGAACCATAGCCATACAAGCCTAGTCAACTCTGACAACGGAACCCAGGAGTTCATGATGAGTCAACAGACTTTTGCGTGGTCTAGCAGATGCGACCATACAAAAGAAAATGCACGTGAAGCCAAAGTGGAGCCCGGTTTGAGGCATTCAGGCCGTGGGCCGATCCGCCATTTTTGACCAAAAGGACACTTCCGAAGAACTCTATTTTCAGGGCCCAAGGTCATATTCCCAGGTCTTCCGGAAAAACAAACGAACCAAAACATAACGAAGAACATGTCCTCAACGCCATTGAACGTGCAGGCCCAGCAATCTAATGCCCCTTCTTCTTTACCTTGATTCTCGCAGACCTGCAGCGGCCATGCAAACAAATACAGGGCGACAATCTTTGTTGGTGGCTGATCTTGAAGGGAAACCCACACAAAGAAAATTGACAAGGGCGTGTTTGTGTGGTTGCTTTTGAAGAGAACCCACCTAGGTCCTCCAGTAGAGAGGTTATGGTTTAGGGTTCCAACTTTTTTCTGTAGTCTATTTTAGTAGCGGAACCCTCTCCCAAAAAAGGCTGAGAAAGGGCACCTTGCTGGGGGACCCAGCCACCCAACCAAACGTGGACGCGGCTTGCACCCCTGGACGCTACTGGGGTACTTGGACCTTCGACTTTTCACTTGCCGCAACTTGAGGCCCCAGCTGGAGCGCAGACTCCGGAACCTGACGCAGGTTCGACCTCCCTAAACTACCCAAAGGTGGGTGTATCCAAAAAAGAATCATGGTTGCCTCCTTTTCACTTCCCTTTGAAGCCATCCAAAAAGGGCGATACTCAACACACTTGGTCCACGAAACCATCCCCTTGGGCAGAGGCTTCCCATTTTAGGCGACGGGCGTTTGGAAACGCACGGAAATCTCCGGGCGTAGTACCAATGTTTGCGACGTGGCAACTGGATCCCAAGCTGCTTCCAATGAAACTGGTATCGTTATGTTCCCTCAAACAGCGAGATAGGTATTGATCAAGCTTGAGCAACCCTGTCGAAAGTTGTGAATCTGAAGCAGCAATCGCTTTTTGTTTGTACATTTCTTTCCAGCATCTTGCGAGAAATCCAAACCGGGACACCGGCCGGTGACTCAAACACGAATTGTTGTTCAGGCAAATGGAAAAGGAATCACCTTGTCACCCCCAAACAAGAAAGCAACAAGTCAACACAACGCCCTTCACACAATCAACAAACAAACCCCCCAAAAACAAATTGGCAGAATCGACCCCAAACCTTGTTTGACGTTGGAAGGGGAGCAAAAATTCAAATTGTAGCACTTAAGTGGGGATTTCCCACTAAACCACAACAAGCCAAGATGTAAAATGTTTCCCAACAGCGACCATGAAAAGAGAAAAAAAACGCCAACCCCTTGGCAGAATCGACCCCAAACGACCGACTGAACGCCAGAAGCAAACCACACGAGAAGCCCTGAGGGCTCCGCCACCGTCACGGCATTTGCCTTGGAACCCGGCTCCGGCTCCGACCCCAGCGACGGCTTTGGGGGGGGGCTTTGGGGGACCCAAGGGGTCGTTGTGGCCATCGCCTTTAACTCCCTTCCGTGGATTGTCCACTAAGTTGCCTTCAACTCACTTCCTGGGTGGATTGGCCAGAAAAAAGTCCGAACTTTTAAGTGTTCACCACTCAGATGGTCTTCCCCAAAAGTGACTCAAGTGCAGGAACTCAGGGAGTGAGTTGGCTGACGTGTGTGGATGAAGGCCACTCCTTGAAGCGTTTAAGCTTTCATGCACCATGGTCCACAAGCATCTCCTCCAGTGGATGTCAATGTAATGGTGAAAATTATCTACCTAACCCCTGTCCCATTTGTCACCATGGCACTTCCGTGGGTTGGTTTGGCCCCAAACCCACAAAGTGGTTCAAGTCCCGCAACTTGGGAAGCGAACTGTTGGGCGCATCAATTCCTTTCTCGGAGTCCAGGAACTGGCGACAAATTGGCGGGTCTGGAACAACCAACTCAACACGGCCCATCACCTTTCTGTTTCCGGGGTGGCAAAATATGGGCTGCTATTGATCGCACGTGTCTCTACTGAGAAATGCCGGTTTGAACCCCCCTTGTACCTTTGGGTCAATGTGTTCTGTTCTTCTTCGGGGGGGGTGGGTGGGAGCTTGCTGGTTCTCAGCAGGGAACGAAGGACCCATCCCCTATGGCTTCCTTTAGAAAGCTTCCGATTCGTTCCCAACACCCGGACTCGTTCTCATTCCCGACCTACTGAGCACCGGGAAGCTTTGGGGGGGTAACGAAGGGCCGTTTGGTATGGCTACCACACATGGCCTGACCTCCAGCTCCGCTCCCCACTCAGCCCGCCGCTTGGCTCCACGCAGGTTTCAGCCTTGGAAGGAAGACTTTCTCCCCCAGTAGTGCCCGTTTCCCCTTTTTTTGGGGGAGGGTTTCCCTACTAAAATAGACAAAACAGAAAAAACATCGGGTACCCTAAACCCTAACCTCTCAAATCTGGAGGACCTAGAAGACATGCCACGGGGTGGGGCGAGTCTCTCGTGGAACTCCAGGAGTCAGCCAGCCAACGTGGGCCATTTTTTGTGCTATAGGTGTTGAATCCCGTGAAAAAAAAATGTGGGCGTACGTCATGTTTTGTTTTGAGCGGAACCCCCTTGTGGTTTGAAAAGCAACCCCAAAAAAACACCATTTGGGGGTCTGACTGAAAAAAACAACACACCAGCGGCATGATCAAGCCCACGGATTTAAATGCATCTCAGCAGCGTGGGAAGCACACGCACCGTGACTTGCTGATTCCTGGCATCGCGAACCGCTCAGTTCCGCTAGTTGCTCACGTGCTTTGAGCACCCGAAGTCCGTGTAAGTGCTGTAGACACACTTAAGTTCATCCCAACATTGTTGCCCTGCAGATTCACGCCCAAGTTGACAAAAAAACGGCGAGTTCTTCACCAAAAGCTGGTTCCTCTGAACACTGTGATATATAGATATATATATATATAAGTATTCATGTTAAGAGTACACATGCCGTTGGGTACATGCTTTGCCTAGCAGTACAGATGGGCTACATCCGCTGCCCATACATCCCAAGGCCTTGAGCCTTCTACAATTGCCAGAGAGGAAAACAGTTTGCTACAGCCGCGCTGATTCACCACACAGGTCCTCCACACTAGGTTCACAGGTCATATCAAGTTTAACATGGTAGCGGAGCACAACTGACTACAAGCTCCATCACACCTGGGAAAGATCCAACCAACCAAAGTACACAGTAGCATAGTAAGTGACCATGGCGGCACAAGGAAGCACACAACAAGCACAACTCCAACAGCAACTTTCAGGAGTACACAAGTACAGAATATCACCTCCACGATTCAGTGGAGAATACACCACATTCGAAGAATGGAAATACAAGATGACAGCATACCTCGGTTTGCAAGAGTCATCATACAACAGACTACTGGCTCAAGCCGAACAATCAGCACACGCAATCACAAGCGACCAACTGGAACAAGCCGCACCAGATCAGGAAACAGCAGACAAATGGCTACAACTCAGCGGAGATCTACACTTCTTGCTCGTCAACACATGTGACGGAGCAGCATCAACAATATGCAGACAGAACATGCTCGGCAATGGCTTCGAGACATGGAGACAACTACACCTACGCTACGCACTGCCACTTGGTACAAGAAGCATTGGTTACCTCACCAAGCTACTCAAACCACAACTAGATGAAAACAAGTTCGAGGAGAGCTTTACAACATGGGAGTTTCAACTCGCCGAGTACGAACAAGACAACAGAACACTACTACCGGATGCAATCAAGATTGCAATCCTGCTCAATGAGACAAAAGGCCCACTACAACAGCATTTGCAACTGCAAGCAGGCAACATTACAACCTATGCACAAATCAGATCATTGGTTGTGGAGTACCACAGAGCAGCATCACAATTCGTCAAACTACAAGCGGCTACGAGCAGCGACAACCAAGCAATCACAAGGAGGCGTAGAACGGGCACACCGCACACTCTTCGAACAGATACGAACACTGAGAGCACTAATGTTCCAGAACTACAACAGGACAATCACCATGAAACACCCCATCATGCCATGGATAGTGCGACACAGCGCCTACATCGTGAACAGATACGCCATCCACTCAAATGGATTCACAAGCTTCTACAACAGATGGCACAAAGAGCAACACACTCCACTGTGTGAATTTGGCGAAACCATACAATACATGGTCTCGTCAATAAAACAATTCCCAAAGCTAGAGCCACGCTTCTTCAATGGAATATAGCTTGGGAAGGATACAACGACAGGCGAATCCCTGATAGGGATATACAACAAGATAATACGTGCACACGATACGACGACATATCAAACCACACAAATACAACCAACAACTCTTCGATGTGATCAACATGGGACCGTGGAATACACCAGCATCGGCACTCACTACGCCGACAATGCCGAAGACAACCACGCCGACAACACTGCCATTACCACAACGACAACAGCAGGCAGCAAAGCAACACAAGGATGCAACCACGAGCACATCATCAGATGGCAAGCTCAATACAGGCGAACAAAGGGATGAAGGATCGCCGAAGAAACAACAAGAGGACACAGGAACCCACATCGCCGATGGCAACAGCTCCACCAATGACACAACGACCAGCACTACCAATGCCTACATCATCAACAAGACCACTACCTGATGAAGTCACAGAAGGCAGCACAAGCAAACAACAGAAGACATCAACAGGAACACCAGTAAAGGAGAGACCCACTACAGGAGAACAACCACAACGCAAGATGAGGATCAATGCAATGACAATCAACACACGGGACGGCAAACACGTCGAGACAACATCAAATGACGATCCACAAGAGATAGAAAATGAAAGGGTACTACTGGAACCCATACTACATGATCCAACAAAGGTAGCAACAGGAATGAAGAAGGAGATGCAACAAATGAAGGAACAAGGAGTCTACACCGAAATAGACGGCAACACGCACGACAGAACAATGGTCCAACATCGTAGAATCCAGATGAGTACTACGACCAAAGCAACAAGAGGTACGCGCACGAATGGTTGCAAAAGGGTACACCGAAAACATCAGCGACAATGACCTCATCTACGCAATCACGCCACTGTTTTGTATCCTAAGGATACTTCTTACAATGACATTGTCGAACAATTGGTCAGTACGCACAGGAGATGTCAGCGTAGCATTCCTACATGCACCAGCAGCAACACTCAACATCATCATGAGACCACCACCTGAGTTTTACGACGACAACAACAAACACATCATGTGGAAACTGAACAAAGCAATATACGGCCTGAGGTCATCACCCAAACAATGGCAAGATCACATAGCATAAGTACTTACAGCACTTGAGTTGACACGAGTCAAAACAGACTCGAACGTCTACAGGAACAAAGCAGGCACGGCTTACATCATGGTCTACGTGGATGATGTACTGTTCACTCACTCTGACTGTCAGTCTCAGTCTCACTCTCACTCACACTCACGCACAGCCACTCACTCACTCTCACTCACCCGCAGTCGCCCGCAGTTACCCACACTCACCCACACTCACACTCCCACTCTCACTCTCACTCTTGCTCTAGCCACTCACTCACTCTCACTCACTGACTCACTCACTCACTCACTCACTGACTGACTCACTCACTCACTCACTCACTCACTCACTCACTCACTCACTCACACACACTCACTCACTCACTCACTCACTCACTCACTCACTCAATCACTCACTCACTCACTCAACTCACTCACTCACTCACTCACTCACTCACTCAACTCACTCACTCACTCACTCACTCACCTCACCTCACCTCACCTCACCTCACCTCACCTCACCTCACCTCACCTCACCTCACCTCACCTCACCTCACCTCACTCACTCACTCACTCTCTCACTCTCTCACTCTCTCTCACTCTCTCACTCTCTCACTCTCTCACTCTCTCACTCACTCTCTGACTCTCTCACTCTCACTCTCTCACTCCCTCACTCTCACTCACTCTTGCTCTAGCCACTCACTCACTCCACACTCTCACTAACTCAGTCACTCTCACTCACGCACTCACTCACTCACTCGCTCGCTCGCTCACTCACTCACTCGCTCACTCACTCACTCGTTCACTCGCTCACTCACTCACTCACTCACTCACTCACTCACACTCTCACTCACTCTCACTCACTCTGATCAACACTTCTGAGCAACACTTCTGAGCAACACTTCTGAGCAACACTTCTAATCCACACTTCTAATCGACGCTTCCGAGCGACACTTCTGATCGTCACTTCTGATCAACACTTCTGATCAACACTCCTTCGACATTTCTGATCAACAGTTCTAATCCACACTTGTGAGCAATACTCCTGAGCAACACTTCTGAGCAACACTTCTGACCGACACTTCTAATCGACACTTCCGAGCCACACTTCTGATCGGCACTTCCGAGTAACATGTCTAACCGACACTTCTGAGCAACACTTCTGAGCGACACTTCTCATCGACACTTTTTGATCGTCACTTCTGAGCGACACTTCTGAGTCACACTTCTGGTCGACACTTCTGAGTAAGATGTCTAACCGACACTTCTGAGCAACACTTCTGAGCGACACTTCTGAGCGACACTTCTGATCGACACTTCTGATTGTGACTTCTGAGTGACACTTCTGAAAAACGTATCTCGTCACATCTCTCGCCACGTCTCTTATCTCCAGTCACCAGCGAGGTGGCTGCAAACCCTTTCGCAAGAGCGGATCCGGCGGGAAAGCCGCCAATGAGAACGGTGAAGAAGGGAAGAAAGGGAAATCAAACTTCCAATATCCTTTCGATGGAACCAAGGTTCTGAGCGTAAGCCAGATGCGGAACCTCTTGGTGGTGTTCGAAACACCTAGAAGATTGATTTCCGGCGCAGCCCGTTCTTGGGCGAATGGGTGGTTTCTGAATCTGCAACCGGGAAGCGCCGTGGCAGTGTGTTGGGCTTGCCCTGTTTGGCCAATAGCGCTGTGGGGGGCGGGTGGCAGGGGGCGGGGTACTACAGCTTGTCAAACCTTGAGTTTCTGAAGGAGCACTAGCATACTATTTGAGCTCTGGAACAGTGTTTGGGACTCTGATTGGAATTAGTATTGGGAGTAGCCTCCCCAAATCTGCGACATGCGTACGTTTGGCCGCAAGAGAGCCCCCTATAGGGTGACCATGGCCTGCAGGATTTGTGCCTGTGACACACATGGCTTGACCTGGAAAACCTCCAAAGCCTTGGATTTTTTGACAGTTCGACCCGCGTCTCTTTTTGGCCTTCAAACGCAACTTTCACCATTTGACCTTTTGTGTCACGTCAGTTTTCCTTGGGTTTAACTGAGGTTGTGACCAAACAAGCGATGGCCCAGAAAACCGGTGTGATTCATCATCAGTTGCACAGGTCACGCACTTTCGTTTTACTACATGTCAGCCATCTAAACCACCTTTTAGGGACCCCTGCGCTTTTCACTATACTTTTGGGTACAACTACGACCCCGTTTTGCGATACAATCTCTTGACTGCGTTTTTACACGACAGCTTGACATCGGGTTCACACGTGTAATTCAGTAAAAGCTGCTGGTTGATCATCGTGCGCTCATGCGGCAGGCCAACATGTCAGTGGCATGGTATTCTAGTACTCAAGACATCCGAGAGCGCGCCCAGGAATGGGAAAGGTGCAGTTTGAATCACCATGATTCTCAACTGTAGCCTTGGAATTCCCCTTTC